ACTCAGTGCATGCAAGCAGAAGTGGGTAGCCGTGCACTTTTGAAAATCTCAGTAAAATACATCCTTTTTTTTCCAGGAACTAACATAACATAGGCCAGATTCACAGCTCATGCAAACCGACAAAATCTCCAGATGCCAGTTTCTACCATGTGGGGATCCATCCCAACTATGGTGGATGATTGATGTGGTGACAGTAAACACTAAAAATTAAGCACGAACAGTGACAAAGTAACCTCTTTCATAACAAAATGCAAAGACTTTATAAATCTTTGGTAAGTTGGGCCACTAACCAGAGCCAGCTCAGCATGGAAGAGGGCTGCATCAGCTGGCCCCTCCTCCTCAAATGACTGGGCAGTGTAGAAAAAGCAATCTTCCTTAGTAGAGACATAGCCCTCCTCTGGTGAAAGCTGCAGAAAGAACGAAGCTCTGAGTTGGATGAGTGGCCAGGACACAGGGCGTGCAGAATGCGTTATGTGTGGGGGTTTAGAGAGGCAAATGAATTCCAAATGCAGTAAAGAGGTCATTTCAATCACCACCCACAGTGTTGGGTAGATAAAGAGACTTATTTTTCTTCCAATTTACCTGAATTGATTCAGCTTCACGTCTCATTTTACATCCGAAGGAATGAAAAAGGCCTATCCAGCTATACCACAGAGCCCACAGCTGAGTCTAAACTCATTTTCAATTTCTGCTCTTATTAGACATATACTAAAACTGCTGTCAGAGCTGCCAAGAGCCTACAGCAGAGGCCTTTACAACCTTGCTAGCCGCAGAGTAATCTTGTTAGCAGGCAGGAAGACTGCATCCACCGACTGTGTTTTAAGATTGTATCTGCCGGGTGGAACAGACTCAGGAGGAAAAAACATAATTCTGACTACAAGCCAGCAGCTTTTTCCAACATAATTTGATGCTAGGTGCATTCGTCCAGTACTGCAAAGAAGCCAGTGATTATTCACAATGTTTAATTAATTGGCAAGCATAATACGTGAAATATTAAAGTGCAAATGCTGAATGTTTACAAAATGCTGGGAACAGAAACAAAACCCCATGCATTTTCTCTTTTAGAGTGACATCTTAAGTACGAAAATCTTGATCCGCGAGACATTTTAATGTGTAACACAGAGTTTCCACTACAAAAAACAAATTTAACAAAGCAAGTTAAAGCACCCTCTTAATACAAAAAGTAAAGTTTCTAGTAACTTAAACATCAGCCATTCCCTCACACCCTCTCCACAAAGATCCACTATGAATGAAAATTCGATACCTCCATCCGCAAGGATTACAAGATTATCATTTCATGAAAAGCAAAAATGAACCCCAAAGGCTATACTTGGGCTTACAAATATAGTGAAAGGTATCTTCTTTGTAAGTCTAAACTGACGTCATTTTACTGATTTGAATTTAACACACGAAGGACACTAGTCCACTACCATCCTTACTGACACACTACCTCAGTAACCTTAGGTCTCCTTCAACCTCCTTCTTCTAATTGTTACAGACTTACTTTCTAAAATCTAGCCTGAAATTACTTATGGCTATACTAAAATAACCAATTTGAGGTATATGAACTGAAGGCTACTCACCATTCCTTAAACATAGAGTGTGTAGTCTAAATACAAAGGCTGCATATGTCTTTGCATATTCTATGCAAAGCGAAGGAATATGCAAATTCCAGGCAAACCACAAAAAAATGGACTTTACATCACCACCTCACACCTTCAGAGAATCTGAAGATACAAAACTATGCCTGGCATCTTGCAGCCCTGAAAGACTGCTTGTCGCAAGATGCTTCGCTGTTTTCTCAGCTGCAAGACAGGTATGCTAGGTCCTACAATCGCAACACCAGCCATACACTATACAGGCCACTCCTACATGCAAGCAGATACAGAAATCTGTTAAAGACGGTTTCTGGATGTTTTGAGACACCCAGCTGTACCAGCTATGCAGAAGTCAGGATCATCATGTACCATCTTAAATGACATCAAAAGTACCCATCAAATTCCCAAATCCTTACGGGCAGTGGTTTGGCAACTCCTATTTTAACTGTTCCTGCTGGGGCTCCTTTCAGTGCTTGTACCGCTTCCTCCAGGCTGCCATTTTCCAAGTTGATATCGTTGACAAACATAAGCCGATCTCCAGGAAGAAGTCTGCCATCTTGCTCGGCCACACCCCCAGGAACTAATGAGCGAATCACAATTACGGTGTTTGCTGGATCAACAGGATCCTAATTAAATAAAAGGAAGAAAAACATTTCATTTTATTTACTCTTTTATGTCTTCAGAGGCTAATTTTTATGCAGAGTTGGGTTATTAAAAAAGTTGGAGCTCTGCTCCAGATGATCACTTAGCAGGAACATATCCTCCTGTCCATACTGCCCATACGTTTAGACTTCCACCTATTTTTAACTCTTAAATGTGAAAATTGTTACTCTTTTCTAGGTGATGTCCCATCATGTATCTCCAGCATAAAATACTGCTAAACCGCAGAGTGCAGTTCATACTGTAACGAGTAATTACACACCAGAAATTCAAATACTTCCTACTGCAATGACAGCATTGCAGACTTCATCCTCCCTTACACTCAGTGGTTTGGGAATACAGCTGGGCAATGGAGCCTGGGGCAAAGTTAACACGTGCACTCTGGTGGAACCAAGAGCTTATTTTCAATAACTCTCTTATACTTCATGGCATCAGATCTTGCTCAGCTGATAAAACACTTTTTAAGAGGCAAGTCCTTGTGCATGCCTAATTAAACACTTTATGGGAGACAGGAACATACCAATACAGCACTCTAATCAACAAGACACAACAAAGTGGTGTTTGCTTTTAAAAAAGAAAACTGCTTTGAAGTCCCCATCCTTCAACACACTGATTTTTAGAAACACGCTAGCATCAAATACTAAGAACAGGAACATATGATTCTGTTGTAACAATTATCACAGGTACACACATTTGCACGATTCCTATAGAATTACATTCAGAAGGAACATCATTACATGTTAATACTTCCAACACATGGCAATTCACTTGAGTGCATGCACAGAATCTGTGCAGGCAGGAGACAAGCACCAAGCTGTTCATTGGGACACACCAAGAATCACAGCTTGAGATACCCAGGTATTTTCAAGTCAAACACAAAATGAACGGGGGTGTTTAGGCACGTCCTGGACAGACAGGAACCAAGCAAGGGATTTCACAATTGCAGTTCTGGATTTTAGTAAATCCTGCTTTAAGCACCTAAGTCCTTTATTGGATCTCCCCCTAAGCACCTCACTTCAGGTGCAAAATACATGGCTAAATGCCTCAATATCCTGACTACATCATTCACTGCCCCTGGGGTGCTAGCAGCTGAGCTTTCTGAAGACCCTAATATATTATGGATTATCTATTTTTCTGGACCAGTATTACCATAATAATTAGAACCTGTAATTTTAATACAGTAAGAGGAATAAGTAATGTAGCTAGTGGGACGCCTACCAGTAGTGACATCCATTTAGCTTTACTGTACTGCTTGGCTTCCATTAACATTTACCCTTAAAATATGTATTTAGATCATATTGTGAGATCCAAACAATACAAAGTATTTTGTCCTCTACTCAAAGAAAGGAGTGCAGAAGTTACCTGGTAGTCCAATATGCTAAATCCAAGTCCCATACTCCCTTTCTCCAGCTCAATGTGCTGTACTTCTGTTTCCCACATCGCCAAAGATGAGCTTTGCATCTCTTCCACACTCTGACCCTCGTCAGCTATTTCCAAAGCTGTTCCCTCTGTGTCTGAGAAGCCAATGAATCCAAGTTTTATGTGAGCCTGAGAAAAACAGTGAATGTTCACCAACAAAATGTAAATGTTTGTGAATCTGCAGAGACAAAACTCTGTTCACCAAGAACAAGATAAAAAATAAGTGATGTTTCTCTAAACACAGAATTAACAAACAAGATAAAGCTAGCACAGAATTCACATACCCTTGTAACAAAATAGCTATGCAGCAACCAAATTAGTCGCTGGAAAAAATATTTACAAAATGGAATTTCTGTCAAACTAAAAATTTCAGAAAACTTCATTAGTACATATATTCAAATGTACAAGAAATATCTGTTATTAAACGGTATGTCTAAAAATATGCCTTGATCTAAACATAGTGGCACTGACAGGAGTCAGAACATTTAAAAAAAGAAAACAGACACACACACATACATACACACGCATATATGCTTTTCTCTTCCCTTGGTTTCCCAGAAGCCGCTTAGCAACAATAAGCTGAATTTGGTGCTTTGCCCAGAACTCAGAATTAACTGTGTCTCTTTTCATACAAATGCTATTGCTTTGCATACTATACAGCAGACCATTTCTACGTGTTTAGTACATCGGGCTGCCCAGAGCTTTGCAGTTATGAGTGACAGAAGTGTGTCTGCCAGTGAATGCACAGGCAGTTCTGCACAACACAAATCCAGAAAGCAAAGTTCAAAACCAGATTAAATATATTCAGATCCTAAAGAACACCCAGTTCAGTTTGCCATATCCTCACAGCCCACCTGCAGAACAGAAGTTAAATACTTGAGTAGACAGACCTGCATCGCAGAATATTTCTGCCCATGGCCTACCAGGATTGACATCTTCTGGTTGGCCTAAAGTATGGGTGATGAACATAATATGCCTTTTTCTATTTATCTGGTTTCAAGTCCTAAAATACTAAAAAGTATTTTCTAATCTTGTACAAGAACTTTGTATGATTCTTCTCAAGGAAATGGTCATGTTCTCAATGATTTTTTTAAGACAAAATACCTTTTCTGTGAGCTGAACCTCAGATAGACTTAGACTCTCCAGTACTTCTGGGTGAGCGATGGGGGGAGATACTGGACGACAGCACACCATTGTCACCTTAATAGGCAGTTCTTTCAAGATATTGACCACATCCTTGTGGTTTTCTCCAAGCAAAGAGATCTCATTCACCTCAGTAAATAAAAAATACACAGTGTTTAGAAGTACAATGAATAAAAATGGGTAAAAAAAAAAAAAAAGCCCAACCCACTAATCACCTGATTTAAAAAAACAAAACAAAACAAACCCCAAATATGCTAATGGACATTGTCAACCCTTAATTTATACTCAATTTGGTGCTCAGAATTAGCACCAAGGTAGGTTTTGAACTGAATTGATAGTCTCATAAATTGCGTGATGCCACCCGACAAACACTACATACTCTGTTGCTTCATGTTTCTTGCATTCATGTGAACCAAATTCACATTTTAATTCTAAGAAAATTATTTAGAAAAGTAAACAGGTATTTAGTCCCTTCACTGTGTAGGGGTATTCCTATTAAATCTTAATGTTTTTGCTAGGTATGCTTTTTTGGTGACCTTGAACCGTATCTGAAAAATCAGTTATCAGCTGAGAAATGCAGGTAAGCATACGCATTCACATAAATATGAGTAAGTACATATGAAGTGACTGCTCAAGCACTTCTGGTTACGGCTGGTATGCAGTTAGATATGCTACATTCCCAAAGTCATAAACCATGAGAAGCAAGTCACTGCTCAAAAATATTACTGAATGCAGACGAAGATAAAGTAGTATTTTTTCTTACTTCCAGCAGCTCATCTCCACTGAACAGCTTGCCGCTTCGTCCAACTGGCCCCTCTGGTAAGATAGATCTGATGAAATGATGTCCCACTGTAGCTTCAAGGCTTATCCCTAACCCACTGCTTTCGCTAAATTTGTTAACTACAGCCACCTAAAATAAGATTAAGAAACGGTTACTTTTGACATATTTACAGCTGTACCCGTTACTTTCCATTTCAATTTACATACAATGAGGTGAATATTCCAGAAGTGAGAAACCAGAAATATTGTCATATGTAATGCAGACTTTTAGACTGCAAAAGCATCCAAAGTTTCTAGCTTAGGTTTTTCAACAACACTGCAGCTTAAAAGAAAGAATCCAACTTTAACTTCCCAAACAGATGAAAAGCATTGAGAAGGAAAAACAAATACCAGATAAAAACTAAAATCTGCAGGCTACATTTAGTGAAAGTTACACTATCACAAAATAGTAGACTATTCTGGAAAGGAAACTACTGTTACAGATTCACAGAGTGTTATCCAGGAATCACAACAGACCAAAACACCCTGTCTGGACTGACATGACTATATTGCCCCATGCATGTAGATAGAAAGTCAGCTTCACAGACCTACTCTTTTACCTGCCTTCATGTGGTGCTTCAGACTCTTAAGCAAGAACAAGAAAAGCCCCTTAAGCACAGAAACTGAAACACAGCCCAATCCAATATGATCTATGCCAGATGGGGAAGAGGCTCTGCAATGCATTTGTGTAAAAATGTGACAAATGCTTGGATCAGAGGACAGTCAGGTAAAAACTGAAACTTTGACCACATTCCACTTCAGCATAAACAAGTGGGAATGGTATATGACAACAATATATTTAATAATACATACTCTTGCAGAGACTACAGCTCTGGCATATGATTTTGAAATAAAGTCCTAGACTCAGATACTGCTTTTCAACTGCACCGACAGTAGATGTCCTATGCATTATTTAGATCATGACATCAAACAATTCATTCAGTATGCAGAATGGGTAGGACGTTTCAAGCACTAGCTTCAAATTCTGGCTAACATAGGGAGCTTTGAAGTTCACCTTAAATATTATTTTTTCCACTAATACATATTTATCCTCTTGAAGCTAGGAAATCTGTGAAACAATACTCATAGGCACAGGAACCTAAGAAGCCTGCGATTATTTTGCTAAAATCAATACAGAAAAATATATATATTCAAAATTTATAATCAAAATAAAATAATTTCAATAGATTAAGGAGCATATGTGTGATTTTTATAAAAAAAGGAACAAATTCAATACAAACATATCTGTGTCTGCATGTTGGCAACATAATACGTGGACAGATCAAAGGGCATTTAGTAATAGTAATCAAAGTTTACCTACCACTATTTCATAATTCGAACCCATAATCCTCTGCCACTTTGCCTTCGTAGCTGCTTCTTCTGTAGTATTTAGCTGGAAATCTAAACGTTATGTCTGAGATTACTGTGACAAAAAGTAAAACGTCCTGTCTATTCCTATAACTGATAAAAGTACATGGACCATGCACGACTACACAATCATTCCCGTGATGCCAGAACTCTCCTAAATATTACTAAAAACCTGACGTGTTTTGTCTCACCAGGCTTGTGTTTACCAGAGGAAAAGCTTGCAAAGTAGTATTAGATCCCACCCCTGCAAAACTAACTGTGTATTTTAAAAGACATGAAGTTCAGTCAAAAAGTTTGGTGTGAATGGCTGGGAAGAAAGGACACATATTTAAACTAGCCTCAGTGTTGAGTGAATTTAATGCAACTTTACAAGACAATGGGCACAAAGCAAATTAAAAAGTTACATGCATGCCCCGGGCGTTGTTAAACCAGACTGAATGTGGGCTGAGGAGACTGATTCAGGGGAATGGCTGAAATACTTACATATGTGATACGGCATACCAATCCTTTTGGACAGACCCTGCATTTTACAGAGAGTGTCCAAGGAAGGTTTTCAAACAAAATCTGGAGGTTTCATACTTTCAAAACTATAAGCACAGCTGTAAAAGATTTTTTGAAACTGTAGGGCCTAGAGGGCAGTGAAGGAACTCAAGTCCTAGCTCCTCTTCTTTTTTTTTTGTGTTAGATTCACATACATGCACACATACAATGAGAAATAACTCTAACAGCTAAAGAGCAGAAATGAAATTGGAAGGGAAGGAGGGGAAAAAAGTAATGATGCTGTGAAAAATACAATAACAGGCTACGCAGCAAACTGCAGCAGCTCTTAACTTGATTGAAAGTTTATCTGCAGGTTGAAAAAACAGAGAAATGCTTTCCTCCTGCTCATTTTCCCCTCATTCACACCGTTTAGATTCTAGGGCAGGGAAACAATAAAGAGCAGTAATTTAGATGCAACAGTCAGCAAACACAGCAGATTTAACAGGACCTGACATATTCAAGGTCCATCATCTGTGCTGTGCCTACAGTAAGTATCAAAATAAACTCTTCGGATCTGAATGCTCATCACAGGCGAAGACTAGAATCTTCATTACAAGTTCCCAACTGCCACTGACTTTTAGTAAGAATTTAAAGGGACAGTGTTAAAGACAGTGTTTTAAATCTAGTCATCGCTCAGAAACATTACTAAAAATAAAGCCAGGCGTTATGCAGCATTCAAATACGACAATACTTTCCCCAAAGCAGAGACACTGCAGTATCTGAAGGAAAGGTGTTAAAAAGAAATTCTTCAGCTACCCAGGATAATGAAAAGCATGAGTTATGAAAAGATACATATTGCAGAACTCATATGGGTGATGCTTTTCAGTTCCCCTCTAGCTCTGGAAGCAGGAAAATGTTAGAAAACACATCAATTGCTGTCTCAATCTGGAAAACATACCATCACATAGGACTTCTGAAATGCAACACAGTGCCCTACCAGCTTAAGAGGGAAAAGAAAATACTTATTAGAAAATAAGAATTTCCACAAAGAGCACGGGAAACGTCACAGCATATCAGTGCACCAGAACTGACTGAATTTCAAATATTATCAGAGAACACAGATGGAAATGAATGCAAGCTCAGGAATTTGTGAAAAGGAAGTTTATCACAAGAGGTAGAAGTCCTGCAACTGTAGCTGGGCGCCTGCAGACAGCTATAAAGATAAGGCATGTTGGGGAATGAGGAGGGAGAAAGTTGAATACGCAACTAGACTAATAAGAGTAGAAATACAAAACTATTAAAAAAGGGCTGAGCATGTAGCAAAAGCAGACTGCTTCATGTGACATCTTTGACAGAATTATTTTCAGAGACATACAATAGTCAGTGATCTTACAGTACATGCTTACATGTATGATTACTTTCTCTTTCTAGCTGTACCTCAGTTACACAGCACACAGGAGATGGAAAGGCACACAAAACACCTGATCTTTGTGTAAGCACACCCAACTGCATTTTCACAGAATAAAATATTAAACGTTGTGAACCTGCTTCCTGTTGTTTCACGTCCTCTCCCATATTTACCACACTGGCACTGCATGGCAATGATGGGGATCCCTGTTCTATTTCACTGTTATCTGGAAAAAAAAGAAGAAGCCTTTTCAGCTATTTTATGCATTGTAATATTCATCAAGCTCACAGGCATGCCTCAGGGCACTGACTCTCCCTTCCACTGGACTTCAGGGATCCATATTTGGCAAATGGAATCTGGTATGAGGGGCCCAGAAGAAAAGCCATTATTTTAAAGACATTTTGTCTTCTGTTAATGTTTTGCCTTCTCCAGTGAATTTTTCAATGAAACAAGAAAAATAAAAAGCACAACTATCAATAGCTGCATCTCTATGATTGAAAGAAAAGTTACTGGAAAACATATAAATATAACATTCTTTAGCACCCTTGTATTACCTTTTTTTTCCCTTCCTTTTCTTTCCTTTGTGCAATTCAATACTGTGCTGAAAAACGAAAATGCTACAGACTTGGAGGCCTGCATACCTGACAGACTTTTCACTTGGAGAAAGCCTCTGCTACCACAGAGTCCTGTTAGGTATGTTGCTGGCTGTCAGCTGTCCTGAACAGCTCTAGGATGGCGAAACAGCACTTTCTGAGCACTTCCTCTGTAATTTTTTCTACAGGTGAGAATGAGAGGATGCCATACAGATAACATACTACTGTGTCGTTCAAAATCTTGTGCGAGGTGGGGATTATGCCTAAGTCTATGAGTTGTGATATACTTCTGCTGACATCAACCTATAAGACAAGTAGCTGAAAAAGATCTGTGCGTCCAGCCCCTGTGCAGATATTCTGTTCAAACACACTGACTTTCAAGATCTGGCACATATACTTCAAGATGTGCACAGTGTAAGATTAAGCTTCACTAATCTCATCTCATTAGCAGCAAAATTAATATTGGTCATTGGCTTCTGAAGTTTGTATACAGTTAATGCCCTATCAGATTATTAATAACCTCTAGATATAGGCCACTCCTCTCATACCTCAAGCTTGTGACACTGACATACAAGAGTGAAAGGAACCGAGACTTGCTTTTGCTCATTGTGGAGGGTATCTCTTTGCTTGCTCTTGAATGCAGCTCTCACCCTTGAGCAGGAATAAAACATTCACTGGCTTCTTACCATTTGAAGATTTGCAGGATCAAAGTCTTGAAGCAATTCGGCCAGAAGTGCAATGCAGTGCAGAGCTTTCAACGCTCACTTTGAAAATGTAGCAAATAATACCACTGCGTCTAAAAGACTAATCAAACCATAGTAGACCAAATTCTCCCCTCATGTACAGCAGCTGTGCCATCAGCAATAGCTACCCAGAATGAATCTGGCCCATTTTATTTCCAGTTTGCAATTGAGAAGAAAAATGATTCAAGCCAACTTTAAAGCAAAGCCAATTTTAATTACCTTTGGCTGTGCTACTATCCATTGTTTGGAAGAGTAAGTCCTTTTCAACAGCAGCACTGAAGTCCTCCTGGGGCTGAATATGATTTTCCTGCTTAAGCCCTCTTCTGATCAAAGTGAGCCGAACCGTTTGTCCCGTGTGCCGCAAAACGTCAACTGCTTGCTGGTTAGTAAAACCCTGAAGATTTGTTCCATCCACCTGCAGGATTAAGCAGCTTTTCAGCCCACAAGATACCACCCAGAAAAAAAAAATGTCCAGGGCAACATAATATGGTGAGCACTCAGCATCTGTTAGCCCGAATACAAAGCAAGTAGAGGGACAAGAACAAAAGCCTGGACGACTTAACGACATTGGATACACTTAAGCACTTTCACTGGAGTGCACCACAGCTAGGTAACAACCAGTACCACAGCAAAGTGGGAAGAAGTGCTTCGGGTGCCCACCAGGGTGGGGCCAGGCAGATCTGCTCTGCAAGGTGCAAGAGGACACAGCACGTGCTGTGTGGGGCATGCTGTGCAGCCTGCCTGCTCAACCGCTTCAGCCATCCCACCTCTGAGGAGAAAGTACTGGGTCAATAAACCAACACAGCTATGGCCGGGATTGCTGGGGAGGGTAGGGTGAGGAGAGACACATCCGTCCACTGTGGCAGAAAGAACTATAGAGCACAGCCGTTCTGAGGCCACATAACCTCAGACACAGGGAAGTCTGCTACTGAACACCACGAAGTCCGATTTCCCAATCAAACACTATCCCAGCCAGCCAAATGTTATCCCTGCCTGGTCTGTCATTTTAATACTCTAGCGAACAAGATTTTGGCCTCTTCTGTTTGAAGCTACCCCATTATCTCATTAACTCAGGGTTTTTTTCTGAAACTCAAGACTTCGGCATTGCTCAATTTCATCCCATTATTCCCAGGACACCCCACTTTTTATTCTCCATCTCTCTACAAACTCCGTATTATCCTATTCTTTCTCCGTCTCACCCCTCAGCACCTTTTATTTCTGAAATACTTCTAACAACACTCTATTTCTTGATTCCTGTAGTTGTTTCAGTCTATCCATACAACACACATATTCCATTATTTTAATTCCTTCTGCATGAAGAATCACTCTCCCTGGACCCTTAATCATTCTGTTGCCCTTCTCTGAACTTCTTCCAACTCTGGTGCTCTTCTAAATATAAAGTTATTAAAAATGAGCTGGGCTTATTTAATTTTTCCTCCACATGTAAGCAAACCATATTTAAAAAATGTTTATTATTCTCTTGTCTGAGGTCATTCAAATCTTTTTCTTCTTCTGCATCCTCAGAAAGAAGAAATCAAACTTTGGAATTATCAATTTTAGCCATTTGTAAACTCACGATTTAGATCATTATAAAAACCATAAATACTTCCACATATAAACATACAGGTACACTTGTTCTTGGAGAGAGACCGTAATTTGTTCTTAGTGATGCCTTCGCACAAATGCAAGGCCAGATCTGTGACAGCCACAAAAATGCAGTTCATGCATTCATGACCTAACTTTCACCACACAACTAACATTTTATGCATGAAAATTTTCTTCTTTCTCTGAGCATCTAAAACTTTAATGACATATTTCTAAAAATCAGTTTAAAACAGTTGCTTAATTTGAATCCAACTTAGAAACTTTGCCTTTACTAAGCAGTCTCAAATATCCTACTAGTAAGATACACACATATAACACAGATTTTCTTAAGAAACACAAGTTACACACAGGTAGTAAAATCAGAAAGATAATGTGATCGAATACTCAGTCAGAAAAAGGACTTACCATTTCAACACCAATCCTAAATGTTTGAAACTATCTGAGCATTTCTTTACAACTTAAAAAAAGTAAAGTTTTGCAGATAAGCAATCTCATTTCTTTCTGTGTTTACTTACAACTATAATTTGATCTCCCACATGGATTCTGCCATCATGTTCAACAGCACTGCCTTTTGTAATGCTTTTCACAAAGATACCAGAAGGTTCTGGGATGAAGAAACAGATAAAATTAAATTAACTAACTTATTAAGAAAAAATTTAAATTATCTACAATAATCTCCAACTAATGCCACAAGCCAAAGGGAGAAAAAGATAGAAAACACAATCTCCAGGTAAGATAAGGAAAGAATCATCAAGTATATGCTTTCAGTAGACCATATTATTATTATTTTCCTAAAGGATGAGCCTGATTAACGTCAGCTTGCATTGGACCAGATTTCATTCAAAATCTTACAATGCCAATTTCCCAACTCTTGCTGCAAAAGAATAAATATTCTAACTTATTTTAATCTAAATGCTGAAATGAGCATCCACAAAACCCACATCTCTCACTCTTGGTCAGATTTAAAACTGCAGGACAGAAAATTCAGTTTGAGAACACTAACCTGGTAAATTCTGTATTTACTATGTACTTAATAACTGCTTAAGAAAATGCATGCTTGGATAAACAAATGCAGAAAATATTAAAGCAAGCAGGACTACAACTTACATTTGAACCAGCTTTTAACTACAGCTGTAAGTCAGTATTTGATCCAATTAAAAAAAAAAAAAAGACACAAAACAAAAAAAAAAGCCACAAACCCCAGAACAGAACCATTTTAGACAGTTACCAATTTTGAATCAGAAGGAAAAGTCATATATATAAATACCTACATAAGGGACATTTCACAAAAAGAAATCCTTTTTAGGAAAAACACGCTGGAATTTGAAACAATTTCAACAGCTCAGTAAAGTGAAAATGTACGGAGTTCCTATGTGCACATATTGCATAGTATACATGAACTTGAGAAACATACTAGCATGAACCAGCATGAAAGCAGGTCTGAGGGTCACAGGCCTGCAACATCGGTATCAGAAATCTTAACAGAATCTACTTTCTCTCAACAAATGTTCTAACTCTCTTAAATAAATACGTTTGATGGGAAGATAATCTATGACAAAATGGGGTTTAACAACTGTCAAGTCACCCTAGTGCCTCTGCAGACCTGAAACTCATATTTTACTGGGCCTCAATACGACAGAAGTCAGCAG